CCGACTCGCGCAAGAGCCAGCTCGGCTGTCCGGGCGGCAGCTGCTGCAACACCCTCCCGGCCGCGCCGCCGCCCGACAAAGGCGCGCCGCTGCTGCTGCCTGAGGAGCCCGCGAGCGCCCGCGGCGACGCCCACAGCGGAGACGCCCTCCTGGTGAGTCCCGCCCGACAGCCTTTCAYTTTCCTTCTATGAGCCACCCCTTTTCGTTTATTTCCTCTTCTGTGGGGTTTCGATCTCTCTGTTTTCCTCGTCCTCATCGCCTTCGTCGCGATACTGGGCATTAACAAGCAGAGGCAGAGCTGTAGCTTAGGACATGACTGCGATGACTACCAAGGGAGAGCAAATTAGCTTTCCAAGTGCTCTTGATGGTGCGGCGCTGTTAGTAATGTAAATGTGCCTTTAGATCTCTTTGTGAGTGGCTCACTATTTGCCTTGCTTGTTAAAGAGTGTCAATCACTTACTGATGTTATCACCTTTCTCTTAGAAAGAGATGTTATCACCTTTCTCTCCCTGCTATTTGAAAGCTAACTATTTAAAATGGATGTAATCAGTGTGGGGGAAATGAAAAGTCCGACTTTCAGGCAGACTACGAGTTTGTATAAAGACGTGCTCCATAACGGTTGTGTCTCTTGATTCGCCTGCGGTGGATTATAAACATTTATTGTTGAGAAATGTTTGTTTGCACTGTTGCTATCACCCTCTTCTTAGAACATGCCCTTTTGTTTGGACGCTAACAGCTTAAAACGGAACTAGTCAGTGTGGGGGGAAATAGGGCGTCAGGAATTTAAGCAGAGTAGGTGTCAGTGTGAAAATGTGCTCCCTAACGGTCGGCGTCTCCTTTGTTTGTCTTGATCCGCCTGTGGTACATATGAACATTTGTTGTTGAGGAAGACCAGTGTGTGCACAGAGACACTCAGGGTCCCTTCATAGCAGGAAGATATGAAGCTTTGTTCCCAGAGAGTGGAAGTGTCTTTGCCACTTTGCAGACCCAGTCTTCCGATGTTGTGCACTACAGAGCACAGGTGTCCGTGCTGCAGACACGTGTGGCCTTCATTAAGGAGGCATAGGAGGGAGTGGTTCGATTTGACTTTGTTTGTAGGTGCTGAGGACCACCGTCCTCCATTGCCGGTGCTAAGAAATGTAGTKACACCTTTGGTGTGTTCTAAGCCTGACCATGGCGGCTTCTTTTGGTGTTAGGTAAACGAGCAGGAGAAGCCTTTGTGGGACAAATGAATCTCCTGTCAATGTCGAGAATCCATGGAGAGAGCATGAGCTGAAGGAGGGAGGTATTGATCGTGGATATAGCATAGACATCCAGTTTTCATCTCTTGTAGCTTTTTTAGGGTAGGACACAACTCCTGACACCGATGTTATTGCCCTCCTTTCACCCTTTGCTGTCTTGTTGTTGTAGGCGTCGCTAGCACTGAACTCCCCTGCCTTCACGTGTCTGTGTTTGCAATTTCGRGCCTAGTCTCTTACTCAGGTGAAGCAGATCGCCTTCGGTTCTTGGTTTGTCTTTCTGTTTCTTTTAGAGTGTTGGTGTTGCTGTGGAATGTAAGAGATGGGAATGTAGTTTGGTTTTAACAGTATGGTGGAACTGCTCTCAGCGATTGCTATTTTGAGAGAAGACTCRTGTRTTTTGGACATATTACGTGTCCCTTCTTAAGCAGGCTGTTAAAGTGTTTTAAAACAGACCGTCTTGAGACYCTATGTCTGCTGAAAGACCGCATGTCTTCAGTGTTAGATCACTCATGTGCTTTACAGGTGTATGTCTTGTCATAATGGTGGTTGGAGCAAAACCAGGTATCTCACTTGCGTGTTTATGTATATGCTCGCTTATCGTGGAGAGAAATGTTGCATGACTGTTTGGATGCCATTTACTTGACCTTTACGAGGATCATAGACAATATTATAAGTCACTTTTCAACGTTTTTTGTAGGGATGTCGTGGTGTGTGGGTCATGTGTGCATCATTTTGTTCTGAATAGCATGCTTCTTGGGTCATGACTGGTAGTCCTACTGTTCCCGTGATCCCTATTGCCAATATAATTTCCTTGTGCAGCACTACCGGTGATGCAGAACTCTCTGAAATGTAAATACTTCTTTTTWWAAAAAAAATGTGTTTTCCTCGTGTTTTAAATAGGCTCTTMCTTGGTTAGGGTTTTTGAATACCCTGTGCCACAGTAGTACTCTGGTAACCAGGTTTTCTTTGTATTTTAACTTTACATCTAAATTCTAGGTATTGAGGATAGAAATAATTTTAGACATAATGTCCCACCTTTTTCAGGGCGTTTGTTCAAATGGATAAGACACTCTTTAAAGAGAGATGCGGACAAAGGAGTGTTTTGCCTTAGTTGTGCATCATTTGCCTACTTTTTTTCTTGGTTTTCCTTTCCCATTAAATGTATCTCTTTTTTTTCATACTATTTTGCTTTCACAATGGACTTTTCTTCTTCACTCTTCTTTGAGACAGTCTATTAAATAGTACAGGGGCGCCCAGGATTGATCCTTTATCACACTACAGGAACTTATAGTATGGTAATTTTATATTTTTATGGTGGTGCTGGTTGTTGTTCTTATTGTTGTTGTTGTTGCTGCTGTTGCTCTTAGCAATTTTTGTCTGGTATGATTTCTTCACTTCTGGGTATTTCTAATATTAGTCCCCTTTTCTGGTCATGACTAGCATGTAGGCCTCCATATGCCTGATAAAGGCTTTTGCTTAGAAAGGCATGTCAGGAGGAATAATTCTCATACCTAAACTTACTGTTTATGGTTATAAACAGCATGACTTTGTTGTACACAGGTTTGCAAAATATGCCTCTGAATAAAATGCTCTTGCTTGTGGCAAGTGGCATAGTTAATGTGCACGTGTCATTGCAGTGACATTCCCTCTTGTGTAGGGAAGATAGGTGTTAAAGTTATTTGTTCCTCATAATATTTTTTATGGTAGGATTCAAATGATGTCTGATCCCTTCCCACAGGATACAAACAACTAGAAAGCTCTGGTAACTGCCATTTCTTTCTGCCTCCCTTTTCTCAGACTTTCAACAGAGGTGATTTGTGCTGCTTTAGTTGTTGTGGTCTTTGTCTTTGAAAGTCCTACGTCTACGTTGTCTACATTGAATTCTGCTGCATCCGCTCCATCTTTATAGTGTTGATTGAAGGTATGAATCTTTAAACCAATTATTTATGCTCCCATGTCTAATGCAAATACTGGGCCAGAAGTACATAGACCATGTTAGTAGTGTGTGACGTCTTTTTATTCTTCACAKGATCTTTAGTTTGCTATGTAGGTTTTCCCACAATGGATAGCTATTAAGAAGAGGTACTTTTATATCCCTCCTTGTATCCCAGATGTTGTAGATCCTTAGAAGGGAGTATCTGTTTAGATACTTCCTCACTTCAAAAGGTGATCCTAATACATGACAGGGAGAGTGGCGTACATGTTATAGTGTTTCCTGAAAAAAAAAAAAGTGACATACGGATTCCAAAAAATATAATGTTTCTTGACAGTTAAATATGTCAGAAGGCAGAGTTATACTTTCTCAGGTTKATGTATCTCTACATAACAGGTAAGTAAGTCCTGTGGCTTGTAAAGTGGTAAACTTTACCATTGCATTTGTGCAGCCTCTTCTTGGATCACAAAGTATGGATGAAACATGCTCAAAACAAATCTCACCTGAGCATGGCAAGTTACATAGTCATTATTGTGAGAGGACATATTCTCAAGTGCTTCTTCTCCTCGTCCAGGGCAGGATAAATGCTTTGACAGAGAATATCTTCAATGGAATTTACCGTTCCCTGAAGTCTGAGAGCATACAGTTTTGGTCTGGGCCTTCAAAGCCAATTGTCTTTCAGAGGAGAKGWGTTCCAATTTGGCATCACTTAGAGCCTGTGCAGGCTACTGGATTTCAGTGCCAAACCTAACCACTTCAGGAAGACTGCAAAAAATGGTGAAATCCCTTGAGCATTCCCAATTCCATTGTCCTTGGAGTCAAACTCTGAGCTAATGAAAACCTAGAGCAAGGTACAGTGCTCCCATCAAGAAGGAAAATGACTCTTGRCATCTACATGTCTATATCTGGACTGAGGGTGCTGAGGCCTCTTTTTGTCTTAATRAATTTAAATTATGAAGCAGTCAGTGCTGTAGAGAGAAATAAGGCCCTAACTTAAAAATGATTTCTCCATCCACTGTAAAACTTATGGAATGCTTACCAGAAATGAAGAATCCATAAGTACTTAGGAGAGTGTATGTGCCTGTGGGAGACACACCTGACTGAAGAAATATAAAAACTATGYATCACCTTCTGGGAATATAGTCATCATTTGAAAAAAATAGAAACCTTGATCYTGACTTATCAAAGTGCATTATAGAAAAGACGATTGAATACTTCTCCCAGGTGACCTATTTTGACAGCAGGAGGCGGAAAATGGGGATATCCTCAAGCTTCTCCGAATCATGATGAGCTCCCGTGGAAAGAGGCCGGTTGCAGCTTGTCCCTTTACCGGTGGGSTGCAGTGTGGGCGCGGGGCCTCCGGGTGCCGCTGTTGCCCGATGTGAAGCGGCACCGCAGACAGAGCCGCAGCCGCCGCAGCCTCCCGCGGGGCGGCCGCTCGCTCGCGGAGCGCCGGGCGGGCGGTGTCGGCACGGAGAGAAAAAGCCGCTGGGAGG